ATTTCTAGTAAATTTCGAGTAAATTTGATTTAAATCTTTAAATCACATCCCGAAAACTATATTTTTATCTTTAAAATAATTATTTTTTCTCGACGCTTCAAGATAAACAAGTAAAGACTATGTCGCACTGATTTTAAAAAAACCCATCACCTACCCTAACAGTCTACTCACGTGCGCTGGCCACTTACCGCGACGACACCACTCTGTAACAAAATAGAAGTCTATCATTAGATTAAGAACTTGAAGAAAATTGGGTGTACTGGGCCTACACACACTACCAAAAGCACCCAAAAAAGCCATCCCCAAAAATTTAAATAAGTTAGGCCCTAACCTAACCTAACCTAATCTGGTTAGATCCTAACCAAGTATTAGTACCTAACCGATTAGTAGAGAGCTAGTCTAAGTTAGCCAAAATATTTGTTTTTAAATACTGAGCCTACACACACTACCAAAGGCACCCGAAAAAGTCATTCACAAAAATTTAAATGAGTTAGGCATAATCTAACCCTAACCAAATCTGGTTAGATCCTAACCAAGTATTAGTACCTAACCTAACCTAACCTAACCGATTAGTAGAGAGCTAGTCTAAGTTAGCCAAAATATTTTTTTTTAAATACTGAGCCTACACACACTACCAAAGGCACCCGAAAGTCATTCACAAAAATTTAAATGAGTTAGGCACTAACCTAACCAAATCTGGTTAGATCCTAACCAAGTATTAGAACCTAACCGATTAGTAGAGCTAGTCTAAGGTAGCCAAAATATTTTTTTTTTAAATAGTATGTAAGTATAGTAATACTAATATCTAGGGTTAACGGGCTAGTCAAAAATTTTGTGAAAACTGGACAGGTCAAGTTGTAGAGGACGTTGAAATGAACAACTAATAATAAGACATGGGTGCGCAAATGTACGTAGCGTAAGCGAAACGAGATAAAAAATTTGTGTGGTTTTTGGTTTTTTTTCAATAAAAGTTGTATTTGTGAACGGAAAATTTAGAAACTTTGCACACTTGTAGTATTCAACAAACTGAACAAACGGGCACNCTAAGATTTGCTTACTTCCGCTTATTAGATATATTATACTTAAATACTTTTGTATGTAATATATATAATATTACAAACAGAAATATACCTT